TCTAATCAGCCTAAATTAGAAAAGTTAACATAATAGTAGCCTTTTAACATTTTCGTTAACTTTTATTAGATCCTTCAGAAAACGACCACAATACTTTCATTTATTTTGCTGTTGTCTTATTGGTTGCTTTTTGGTGATATCAAACTGAGATAACCAATGGATGCGGTTATTACAGTTTCTTTTGTAGATATCAACTATCAAATTATCGACTTGTTTATTTATATTGTTCACTATTCGTGGGATACACATACTGCATCATAATTAGTAATTTTATATTTTTGTCTTTAATCACACTCAGTTCAGAGAACTGATGAAATTACTCATTTTCTACGAAATCTACACAGAAGACTCTAACAGTAATAAGATATTGGATTAACTGCAATGTCGATGGTACTTTTGTTAAATTATTTATGTGACTCATTTATTATTAAATCCACTGTATCCAACAAAGTCATGGATTCACAAATAATTTGGTACATAAATAGTTTATAAAAGAGAGTTTGAAATATAGATGGAATTGGAATCCCCATCGGCAATTATAAGGTTTAAGGTATGCTGCTAGAGACGGAGTCACTGTTTTAAATTAAAACCAATTGTTATGAATCGTAAAAATAATATTCAAAGTATACAGCAAGATAATGAGCAAGACGTTGGCAAATATCAATGCAATGTACAGAATAACAGCAATTGTTTGTTTTGAATTTTGCGCAAAGCTACACGAGGGCTATCTGCGCTAGCCGTCCCTAATTTAGCAGTGTAAGACTAGAGGGAAGGCAGCTAGTCATCACGGCCCACCGCTAACTCTTGGGCTACTCTTTTGCCAACGAATAGGGGGATTGATCGTCATATTATAACGCCCCTACGGCTGAACGGGCGAGCATGTTTGGTGTGACGGGGATTCGAACCCCTCAAATTGCGAGTCGAGCTTAATATGAAAGCATTCGATTATTTTGAGCTATTTGAAGCAATTATACAAAATGATTATTTTCACCCATAACAGCCCTAATAATGTGAAATGTTTATCCGATATCGCCAAGAAAAATATATTATTTCTAATTGGTCTTTTGCGCGCCTTGTTGCTCTCAGTACATTATATTTTTCCCCTCAAAATTTTTACCTTTATATTGTAGGTATATATATGTATAAATATAATTATTTTGTCATTATACTAGCCACTCCCTCATCAAACAAGTGTGTCGTTATTTCAAAGACGTAATGGTAGATGAGTACATAATATTAAATTACTTGTATTACTGCGTGGATTTCCTCAAGAAGTTGTTGTAACGAATCTCAAAAACTTCACATCTCAAGGGTGAACAAGTATTTGCTGAATTTTAAAGAAATCGAAACATTTCAAAGTACGAATTTTCATCAAAACATGAAAGTAAATATTCAATAGTGACTAATTTTGCTGATAAACATCAGTTTAATAGCTTGCATTTAAATAAGTAAGGCAGGGCCTGTCAGGCTGAGGCGTTAGCAAAATTGTTATTTATAAAACTTACTCTCTTTGAATAGTCATGGATGAACTGTAAAATGATTTATTAAGTTATATTGTATCGTTCCTATTGTTCAATTACAAATGTATTAGTGAATTTGTTAAAAACTGCACAGAGAAAAAAAATATGTTTATATTATTTGAGAACACGTGATAAAATGGTAAGTTTTTTTTTTGTTTCGTAAAACGATTGAGATAGTGTAAATAAAACAAATTGTGTTATCCTCTGCGTAGGCTAAATTGGGTTATCTTCTGCGTGGGTTAAATTGTGCTGTCTTCTACGTGTGTTAAGTTGTGTTATATTATACGTGGGTTAAATCTTATTATATTCTATGTTTTAAAATTGTATTTTCTTCTATGTGTGTTAATTTCTATGTGTATTAAATTGTTCTATATTCTAGGTGTGTTAAATTGTGTTATCTTTTACGTGGGGTAAATTGTGCTGTCTTCTACGTGAGTCAAATTGTATTACCTTCTTTCTGTGTTTAAGTTTATTATATTCTATGTTTTAATATTGTATTTTTTTCTATGTGTGTTAAACTGTGTTATATTTTATGTGTATTAAATTGTGCTATCTTCTACTGGGTTAAATTATGTTATTTTCTACGTGGGTTAAGTAGCCAACAATTTGCGGATCTCTAAACCCATTTTCCTCTTGTAGAGTTCTCTATATCTATATAATATGGCAGTTGCAATGGAAATAGTATTAAACTTGGCTTCAAGATCGTGTAACAACCGGGGAGTTTGAAAATTATGCTTAACAGAACTGTTTTGTAATTATTCAATCCAACTAATACAATAGATCACTTCTTTCACTGCATAGTACGTTTTCTGTTGTATTGTTTTTATAAATTATTTCTGTTCAGTTTTCTTTTTCTTTTTTTTTTGGTACTGGAATGACGAGACTTTGAACAATGTTAAATATTACTACATCCATTCTCATATAAAAGTTTCAATTTATAATTTTAAACGTCTCATTGATTTGAAATAGTTTAGGAATAATTTTGCCGTGTGGATATGATATAATGTCAATATCATTTTTACATGTGTTCATATGCATCGTGATGCGATCAAATAATTGTATGAATGGTTGATGCAACCATGTTGGAATTCTTAAAGTTCATTGTATTAGGAGTTTGATGGTTGAAATAAATGATTTTTATTAATGGAAATGACGTAGCATTCAACTCGAAAATTATATTCTATTTACTTTTGAGGTGTTTCTTCGACACACCTTCAAACTAAACACTAAAGTCACTTATTAACTGTAAAAGAAGAAAAGAGTGATCTATAAGGAACGGTGTCTTTAATTTGTCATTTACGCACAACAAAATATATGAATAGGCTCATTCTTTTTTGTGTCCTTCCCGCCTTGATCTAATAAAAGGAAATGGTTCTATGTATTGTATACACTAACAACAGGCTTAACAACGGTTTGCTGGGGAAGACACAGCAGACCAATTTTGTCGAGCAAACATGAAACGAATCAGCTGATGGCATAAACTGATGAAAGGTTGTGTGGTGTTTGCCCACGTTGATGAATCTGTTAACGTGAGCGGCCCCAGGTCCTGGAAGTCAACATGGCTGACTTTGTAAAGTAACATCTGATAATTGTCGCTTTTAGTCGCTAACCAAGTAAATGGTTCCAGATACGAAACCGTTGTTTTATAATCTAATCGATTTATAGAGGTTACCACAAACAGGTTGATTGTAAAGCCGGTGAATATCATATAGCTGACGAAACTACTCCTTATCAGCGCGTTGATAAAAAGATTCAGAGTTCTTGCTGTGATATTTTGAAAAGTAAATATAATAGTTCTTACACCTTCAGTTCAAAAAATACAAACGAGTAAAAAACTAATACAGTAATTTTATAAAAGTGAAAAAATAATCAAACTCTCTTAAAATTCTAAACGTTGCTAAGCAGCTTAATTTATAACAGTAAGAAGAGAAAAGGTTATTTTAACATTTTACTATTACAGCATTATGGGGATATGTTTTCCTTGTGTGAGTATATCAACTTCTCAACTAGAAAACTGCTTAGCTATTGGCTGAAAATCACATTTTTTTTTAACATAAGTCAGTCGTTTTACTACATAATTGAATCAACTTGAATTAGTGTCAGTGTTCGTTTGTTGTAGGAAGAGAAGCCAATAAATAAACGTAGATATATTATTAAACATGAACACAAGGGTAATCCAAATAAGCTCTGGCTCCCCATAATGATTACAATTTACACACAGTGATTTAAATAAGCTCTGGCTCCCCATAATGATTACAATTTACACACAGTGATTGATTTATTGAATTCATTCGTCCTTATTTCTCCTAAATTGTGTTAATATTATAATTAATGCTGAAACTATGTTTCCTATTATTAAATATATGAATTAGTTAGAAAATCAGTCAGATACCTATTTATAATGGGATTATTTCAGTTTTAGATTGTGATAACTTAGACCTTACAGAACGTGTTTTTTAGGCTTTATTTGGAACAAAACGAAGAAAACGCGTCATTCGATAGTTTTGTGTCTTGTTCATGGAATATGCAAAAGTAAGATGGCGCTATAACAAAACTTTGTTTTTTATAAACGTTACAGCCAATCCCATCATTCGTTTCAAAGAATCGAACAAACCCATGTTAGAACAGAGTGATCGTGATTGGTTGCTTTTCCTCTAGTTAATAGTTTAAAATTAGGGAGGACAGCCTTTGACCTAGCCGTTTACCCGACGTAACTTTCAAATATACAATCATTTAGCGAAACACTAGCGTCTATACAAACAAACTTAACCATACTGCCTGTACACTTTGACATAATTATAAACAAACTTAACCATACTGCCTGTACACTTTGACATAATTATAAACAAACTTAACCATACTGCCTGTACACTTTGACATAATTATACTTTATCATAATGTTTCACTTCAGCCGCAAGTTATACAAAGTTCTGTTGTTTATGGAGTGTGGATATCAATATTTAATTAGATTGTTTGTAGTTAAACACAAAGCTTCATAATCGGTTATCTGTGCTCTGACCACCACGGGTATCGAAACCCAGTTTCTATCGTTGTAATTCTGCAGACATACCGCTGTGACTTAACTAGATACAAAACATGGAGTTCCTAATTGATACCACATTGAAGATATTAACATGTTCATGATAGTAAATCACATACACTTCATGAATTGTGTATATCAATATCCAACTTGTTACATAACACCTTAGAGACATTTTAGCGTTTCTCATTCTCTTAACTCTTAAATATGGGCCCAGCATGGCCAGGTGGATAAGGCGCTCGACTCGCAATCTGAGGGTTGCGGTTCGAATCCCCGTCACACTAAACATGCTCGCCCTTTCAGTTGTGGGGGCGCTATAATGTGACGGTCAATCCCACTATTCGTTGGTAAAAGAGTAGCCCAAGAGTTGGCGGTGGGTGGTGATTACTAGCTGCCTTCCCTCTAGTCTTACACTACTAAATTAGAGACGGCTAGCGCAGATAGCCCTAGCGTAGCTTTGCGCGAAATTCTAAAAAAACAAACAAAGCAAAACAAACTCTTAAATGTACATTGTTAATGCAGTGTAGCACTAAAACATCTCCAGGGGAGTACATGATACTTAGGATAGTTGGTAGAATGACAGAAAGATGTGGACACTTTTTACAACATCTCCAGGGGAGTGCATGATACTTAGGATAGTTGGTAGAATGACAGAAAGTTTTGGACACTTCTCATTTCATGTGAACACTTACGTTAAAACTCAGATGAAATCATCTTCAGCATAATTTTAATAACTCGTGCAACAACTACAGGATTTCTAAAACTTTTCCTGTACAGCATTTTAGCTTTAGGCTGAATATCTGGGAGAGAAAAAAAAACTTAGTGTGGATCGTATACATAATAAGAAGGATAACTGATACAATGACTAAACATAGTTGTTTTAATTTCACTTATCATATGATGTAACTCTACACGAAGTATCGTGCAAGAGAATGTATAGAGTGTTACTTATTTTATACGTTGGGGAGAGTCGATATCAGGTTGATTGTTAATTGCAACAGCGATAAACTGTACATTCCTTTTCCATTTAGGTCAACATATCATATAACACCGCTATTATACCCCAATAACGCCTAAACACCCGTCACACCAAGGACAGAAGTATAACAAAATGTGATGCTGTAAGTGGACCTACACTACTTATGGAGTAGATGCTACAAGACACGGTGTGTCTCACAATAAGTTAATATATGTTAATTGTGTGCGTATAACTACTTTTGTTTCGAGAACACGTTGCTTTTGTTGAAGCATAAACTGCACTATGGTCTATCTGCGATAGTCCACCCGCAGGTATCGAGCCCCTAACTTTAGCATGATACGCCCTTAAGCGTACCGCTGAGTCACAGGGAACTCCAACATCCTCCCACATAACATAGAAACTACAAGAAAACAGTAACGTGAGATATCTTCATGGGCTTTCATGATACTTAGAAATTATATATATATATATATATGTGTGATACAATCACTAACATTAAAAGCCCTAAAGCTTATCGTTGAGCTACCAAGGGGCTCTAAGCACGCATAATTTATCGTATACATGGCACATTAACGATATGACGCACATACAGTTTCAATGTATGATAAGGTATTGGATTTATAAATCCGGTATTATATTTAATAATTGGGAATAGTAATATGCTGAATGTTTTCTACAGTTGTATGTAATTTTTCAAACATCCTTCTCTCTTGACTTGCAATAGTTATAGGTTTAACAGCTAATTGGGTCATTCATAATTAATCGTGTTCAGTAATTCAACAGTAAGTTTGCGAGCTTATGATACTAAACTTGGGGGTCAATTTCTATGTTGGGCACAGCACAAATAGTCCATTGTACATCTTCGTGATAAAACAAATAAAAAACCGACATACATATTTATGTATAACAGCGTTTACCTTTATATTCCGTCTTGGCTTGTTTTTTAGGTTTAATTGTTTCTTTTTGTTTATTCTATCTGTATTCACTTATTATTTTGATTTTATTCACTTCTAATTTTCTAAACAAATATGATACTTTGCGTGTAATTTCCAATTTTTTTTCTTTGTATTTGGACGTACATCATCTGTTTACTTTACTACTTGTGTTTTGAAATTTGAACGTCGTGATTCAGAATCCTATACTGTTTTTTATAGCTTTGTTAGGTCCAAACCAAAATCGACTTTATTTTAAAAAAACATGATTTTTAATCGGCATGCGGACATATTATAACATTATGTTCACTTTAGAAAATGATAAAAATTTTAGCAAAAGCCTAAACCAAATTAAATTGTATAGAATTTCTTGTTAAAAAAAAGCGCAAAAAAAAAGAAACAACTTAACGATAACTATAGCTTTGATACTCAGCTATTTGTCTTAAGGCAATATAGGTCAGAGAATAAGGTAGTATGTGAGTCACATTAAGTCTGCTTCTTATTCCTTGTAGGTAATTTATAAATTGTTAGGTTAACACAAGCAGTGGAAGAAACTCAGTGGCAAACAGTCTTCGGTAAACAGAATTAGTTTAGTTTGTACTAAACTGTCGTGCACTGTAAAGTTTGATCAAATTAGAAGATGCGGCGTTTTCGGGTCAACATCGGTACGAAGAGACGAGATGGATCATGACGATGTTGACGTAACGAACTTCGCTTATTCACGGCTGTAGACTGGGATTGAAACATGTTCTTTATACAAAGACAAACATGCTTCTCAAACAAAGCCAATCTCGGTCTGATATAGTTCACCAACAAAACTGATATATTTGTTGTCAGTGTAAATTTGGACCGGATATCAAACTTTCACTGTCTGAACAAATAAGTAAATATTGTCGTAGTCAAACAATGGCCGTATAAAAGAGTTTGGAAGCGTAACACCGGTCCAGTGTCTTTAGGGGAGTGAAGTGGTTCATGTGTGAAAGAAGTAAGAGCCGTGTTTTAACCGAAATCTGAAATATGTAATGCTAATCAGTTTGGTTTCTACGAGTTTACAGTAACCCAATGATATTCAAACTCGTTATTAATCTAAATCTTTCATAGAAAATAACTATTCATCCTACTCCTTCAGAAATCAGGCAACCATCGAAGGATCTATTTCTTAGGGAAAAAGCCATTCTTCTTCCACAAAGGAAAAGATTTCCGAAAATCTTATTCAACTTAAAGTGTCATGTTTAGGAAAACAACGGGTTTTTTTTTAAGGGTTTAATCGTAACTAAAGAAATGCAATACCCCAAGCTTTGTTTCAACAGGGGACAGTCAGATATTCGTATTCAAACCCCTCATGCTGATCAAGCACATGTCGGGAAATAGACAAACTTTCTACATTCTAAAAATTACATTTGTTCTTACCTATTTCTTTAAGAGATATCCTTTAGAAACTACCGGTATTTGAAGATGTTTATTTCTTTAAGGGATATCCTACAGAACCTACCGGTATTTAAATATGTTTATTTCTTTAAGGGATATCCTTCAGAACCTACCGGTATTTGAAGATGTTTATTTCTTTAAGGGATATCCTACAGAACCTACCGGTATCTGGAGATGTTTATTTCTTTAAGGGATATCCTACAGAACCTACCGGTATTTGGAGATGTTTATTTTTTTAAGGTATATCCTACAGAACCTACCGGTATTTGAAGATGTTTATTTCTTTAAGGGATATCCTTCAGAACCTACAGGTATTTGAAGATGTTTATTTCTTTAAGGGATATCCTTCAGAACCTACCGGTATTTGAAGATGATTATTTTATAAGACTCCATCCTATCTTGAGTGCTGTCTACAATACTTCAAGAAATAGAACGTATTATCTTCTCAGGATTTCGCTGCTTATGTGACAGGTGGGTGCCGATGCTGACACTTCTTGCCAAACTTCTTGAAAGCATCAACTAATATTCGTTATGTTTAATTGTCGCAAGAGAATACGATCTCAACATCTATACAAGTTGTGGTAAGTGGACTATGTCATAAATATCTATGGTGGTTCTCTGTGTTTCCTACCGCATCAATAAATGTTTGAGGTAAAAGCTAGAGTAATACTAAATATCAACCAAAAATCATCATTGTATGACGACGAGTAAGAAATGTTGTTTATACCTCACCTTTAGTGTAAAAAAGTGGCGCGTATAAATTGACGAATAGAATCCTCCATAGAGTGTAGAATGATAATAAATGTTTGAGGTAAAAGCTAGAGTAATACTAAATATCAACCAAAAATCATCATTGTATGACGACGAGTAAGAAATGTTGTTTATACCTCACCTTTAGTGTAAAAAAGTGGCGCGTATAAATTGACGAATAGAATCCTCCATAGAGTGTAGAATGATATCATCATTATGTATCCCACAGTAGACACGTGAGCCAACTGTGGAACTTATGACTGGTGTTTCTTTGTTAAGAAAAATTACCATTTTAATACATCACAAAATATTAAGATCAACATTTATATTAATGAATAGGTTTTTGAGAGAAATATATTCTTCTTAATTAAGTATTTGATGTAGCATTTTTGTTAAACCCTTTACGTTTTTACATTTACAAGCTGAGGTTAAGGAAGCAAAAACCGTATAAAGGACAATGTTAGGTAATTGTCCCCTTCTTTTTTCTTTTATTATTAAATCCCTAATGACCTCATTATGTCCTAAATTTATAGTCTGCTTTGTGAAAGGTAAATATGAACTCATTTAACTGATTAAGTACTTGTGTCTTTAAATTCAAAGCCGAAACTGTGTAAAAAATGGAAATATGCCCTATTTCTGTGGCTTTTTTATACTTCTTCTCGGGCAAAAATCCTAGAATAGCCCATATACACCGTCGGACAGTTTCCAGTTGCCATACCAAAAAACTTAACCAGCCAACTCTGGGTGATAGATGCTAACACACATACACAGACGTAATGGATCATCTGTATGGTAAGACATTCTCAGTTCGTTTCAACCAAGTAATGAAATGTGAATGTAAATATCTCTCATCATGAGTATGTTTGTGTATCTACCATCCACAGGTATACGAAATAAAGGGTTACTACCAAAAGTGAGGCGTGGAGGAAAACTTTTATTGTACACCACGTACTTGCATGTTTTCTATAATTATTATATCAAACGTATGTTGCAACTGGTAGGGGTTAGAGTTATAAAAATCTTTATCTAATCTCAAAACTCTAAACATTCCCCTAACTAGATTAAAATGTCTATCGTTCAAGACGGGTATACATATATATATATATTGAATATGTGCAGGTACAAAGATAATCAGGTAAAATCAGATGTGATGTTCTATCTAAAAAGTTACAAAGAATAGTTAGAACTGAAATATCGAGACTGGTACTTTGTTTTATTCTATTTACTAAACATTCATTTAGCCCTAATAATAATATAAACGAACGCATTAGTGACGCTCAAAATGAGATCTAGGACTTTTATGGTGATCATTCTTATTAAGTGTTGTTTTTTTTTATGCTAGTCTTGTTAGCTCGAGGTCTCGCGAAACTGCATAAGTTACGTTAAGCATTTATATTAGAAATCTATGTGTAATTTGCGTAACATTTGCACATTTACATAGTAAAAGTTTCTGCACGAGAAACATTACTAGAGTCATTAGAGTAATGATGATTTTCGTTGTACCGCAGGAAATGTTGACTCATTTTAAATGTCATAGCCTTACTACGTTGTACAAAGTAATAAGTTGATGACTGCGATCCTTAGAACACTGAACTGTCAATATATTACTAAATAAACCTCAGATCTTGTAGCTGATTATATTTAGTTTTCAAAATTCGTATCCTTCTTTGTACAAAATTAAAATTTTGTGATCACAAATGTCTGATTTTTTTAATGTAAAATTATACAAATATTAATAAAATAATATAATAAAACTGCGCACCAGGACTTGAACATAACATTGGTATACATTATCTATACGAGTTTATATATAATTTGTCTTTAAGGGTTTCTATACATTTCGTCTATAAATGTTTGTATATATATATTTTGTCTATAAGTGTTTGCCACTAAGCACAATAGTGCTTAGTATGTAGGGATGGGCCGGCAAAAACAAATGGCCGCTGCATATTATGTATTGCTCATCATAGTCTCAAACCTCTCTTATAACAATCCATGAGGCATTTATGAAGACCTAACTTAAGTTTTCGAGGTTTTCGAAAGCTATTAAGACCTTCAGTTTAGCCAAATAACATCGTTAAAGTAGAGAACCAGCGAGTAGCGTAACAATCAAATGTTCTACTGATTATTCTGATTCTGGCATCAGAAGGGTTAGCTTTCCAATGCTTGGAGTTGTTGCGGTGATTTACACACCAAAATGTTGCATGTTAACTTGGAGAGTGTAGAAGTAGTATAGCGTTTCACTATTTTTCAACACATGATGTACATCAAGACAACTCATCACGCCAGACTAACACTGCTGCCTTCACAGCGACTGTCATTCATTAATATTGATTGTTTAAAAAAAAAGAGGGGAAACAAGTAATACACAAACGGGGTGAATACACAAAAACACATAACAATCTGTACATAAGTAGCCACTGAGTCAATGTTACAAGCTTATGGGAATTAACCATCATAGGACGTTAAAGCATTATTCAGTAAATGTTTCTGTACTTTTTGTCATTGTCATCCCTACATCATCCGTATTTTTTATTACTTGTATATATTTTGTTTATAATAGTGTGTATGTATTTTGTCTACAAAAGTTTGTATGTATTTTGCCTACAAGAGTTTGCATACATTTTGTCTATAAGAATTTGTACTTTGTCTATAAGAGTTTGCATACATTTTTCTGTAAGAGTTTCTATATATTTTGTCCATAAGAGTTTGCATACTTTGTTTATAATAGTTTGCATACTTTGTTTATAATAGTTTACATATATTTCTTCTATAAGAGTTTCTATATATTTTGTTTACAAGAGTTTGTAAACTTTGTTCATAACAATTTCTACGTATTTCTTTAAAAAGTGTTTGCATATCTTTTATATATATTTTTCTATACGAGTTTGCACATATTTTGTCAATAACATTTTGTACACAATTTGTCTATAACAGTTTGTAAATATATTATCTATAAAATACTCTTATGCTTGGTTTTTAAGATTTACGAAGATGGGGCTAGAACAGTCGTATTCTGAAACTCTGTACAATACAAAATAAAGATATTTTTAAAGCACGACATATGAGCAAGCAAAACAGCCAGATTGAAAAGAAGTCTTTTATTTTGGACATAACACAAAAATATTAACCTGAAAATCTAGCACAG